ATTGTTTAGAATATACTATCACACTAAAGGCCATTATGTCTTCTCTTAAGAAAAAATGTTTAAAAATAAGCATAAGTTGGCCAGATTTGGTGGCATATGCCTGGTAGTCCCAGCTACTCAGGAGGCAGAGGTGACAGGATCACTTCAGCCCAGGAGTTTGAGGCTGCAGTCAGTCATGATCACACTTCTGCATTCCAGACTGGGCGACAGAGTGAGACACCGACTCTAAAACATTTTTTCTTTTGTTTTAAAAAAGGTATATTGGTCTAAAAACAATAACAGTGCTAACAAAAATAAAAGTAGAGAAATGAAGACCATTGCTCTTCATTTGTGTCACTGAATCTAAAAAACTATTTGTATTATTATTTTTTTGAGAGAATCTTGCTCTGTCGCCCAGGCTGGAGTGTGATAGCACAATCTTGGCTCATTGCAACCTCTGCCTCCCGGGCTCAAGGGATTCTCGTGCCTCAGCCTCCTGAGTAGTGGGAGTTACAGGTATGGGTCACCACACCCTGTTAATTTGTGTATTTTTAGTAGAGACTGGGTTTCACCATGTTGGCCAGGCTGGTCTCGAACTCCTGTCCTCAAGTGATCTGCCCGCCTCGGGTCCCCAGTGCGCTGGGATTACTGGTGTGAGCCACCAGCCGGGTCACCTATTTGGTTGATAAATCATTATCAACCCAATGATGACTGGGCTGCAGTAATCCAGATTGCACATGCATGAACTGGAGTTCTGTCTACTATGTGCACCCGTCAGAATTTTATTTAGCCAAATTTATGTGTTAAACCTCACAACTTCCTGCTACCCACCAAACATCTTTCACAAACTTCCTGGTAGCCTTTTGCGACCCGACAGGATGAATCAATGAACAGCATTGTAAACAATACTTTGCTTGCATTGAAATATTACCGTGCTCCCCCTAGAGGAACAAGGGTTATTTATGAAAGCAGTGGTGACTAAGAAAATCAACTCTTACAAAATTACTAAGTGTTAAAAATAGATTGAAATACACTTGTTTTATTCTGATTATATGCAGTCTAAGCAATTAATCTTAGAAACAAAGAAACTACATTAATTAACTGGGTTATATTAGAATGATTTTTTTCAGCAACCTTAAAATTATCTCCTTCATACAAATTTCTTTGCTATTTTTAAATGATCTCAGTAATTTCATTTCTGATTATGAAACTGGCACATATATACCATATAGAAAATATAGGAGATCACGGAGGAAAAAATACTCATGATTTCACTGTCCAGAGATTTAAGTGTGTAAGTTGAGTATCCCTAATCTGAAAATCTGAAATACTATTTATTGTTAAGTACTGATCTCAATTTCTGTAGCCCTGATGAGCTTATTCATTCTAGTAGTATTTTAGTGTACTCCTTGAGGTTTTCTTCATATGAGAATGTATCATCCTCAAATAAAGGTAGTTTAACTTCTTCTGTTCCAATCTGTATACCTTTTTTTAAATTTTTTATTTCATTCTCTTACCTAATTGTCCTGGCTACTATCTCCAGTACAACATTGAATAGAAATGTTGAGAGTGTACATCTTTGTATTATTCCTAATTCAAGGTGAAAGCATTCAGTCTGTCCCACTAAACATGATGTTAACTGAAGCTTTCTGACAGATGTCCTCTATCAGGTTGAGGAAGTTCCCTTCTATTCCTTGTTTGTTAAAAGAATACTGAATTTTGTCATATACATTTCCCACGTCTATTGAGATGATCACATTAGTTTTGGTTTATTTTCTACTGATACTACATTAATTGGTTTTCAGATGTTAAACTAACCTTCTATCCCTGGGATAAATCCCACTTGGTCATCATGTATAATTCATGCAGATGTTACTGGATTCAGTTTCCTAATATTTTTTGAGGATTTTATGTCTGTATTTAAAGATGACATTCATTTGTAGTTTTCTTGTGATGTCTTGGAGTGTTGGAGTAATACTGCTCTCATAGAATAAGCTGGGAAGTGTTCTCTCCTCTAATTTTGGAAGAGTTTGTGAAAAAGTGATATCAACTCTCCTTTAGATGTTTGGTAGGATTTAGCTGTGAGCCCATCTGGGCCCAGGCTTTTCTTGGCATGTGGTTTTTTTTTTTTTTTTTTTTTTTTTTTATTGCTAATTCAATCTCTTTAGTTTTAAAAGTCTATTCAGATATTCAGTTTTGATTGCTTGTGTTTTTTTTTCTGTATTTAAAGCTATTGCAAACTTCTACTTTGTAATGTTTGTGATAAGAAATAGAATGTCATCATTTCATTTAGTCCTCTGTATGTAATGTGCTTTTTCTCCTTTTATTCCTCTTAGGATTTTCTGTTCATCACTGGTTTTGATTAATGTGAGTACAGTGTTCCTTGGTGTAGGTTTATTCATGTATCTTGTCCTTAGGATACACTATGTTTCTGTGATATTTGGGGTTTATGACTTTCATTGTCCATCAATGATAGACTGAATAAAGAAAATATGGTATCTATACACCATGGAATAATCTGCAGCCATAAAAAGGAATGAGATCATGTCTTTTGCAGGGACATGGTTGAAGTTAGAAGCCATTATCCTCAGCACACTAAGGCAAGAATAGAAAACCAAGCGCCACATGGTCTTAATTATAAGTGGTAGCTGAATGATGAGAACACATAGACACATGGGAAAACAACACACACTGGGGCCTGTCAGAAGTGAGGGGTGGCGGTTGGGGGGAGGGAGAGCATCAGGAAGAGTAGCTAATAGATGTTGTGCTTAATAGCTAGGTGATGAGATGATCTGTGCAGCAAACCACATGGCACCTGTTTACCTATGCAACAAACCTGCACATCCTGTATATGTACCCCACAATTTAAAATAAAAGTTGAAGGAAAAAACTAAATAAAGATTTAAAAAATCCACTTAAACCTCCATACTGGCATCACAATTAAATCAAAATTAATTACAGAACTAAATGTAAACTGCAAAACTAGAGAAATTACAGTAGAAAACATAAGAGAAACTCTTCATGATGTGGAGTTAGGCTAAGTATTCTTAGTTACCACATCAACAAAATGATTAAAGAAACTATTGATGAATTCAACTTTATACAAATTAAAAATTCTTGGTCAGCACAAGACACTATTCATAGATTAAAAAGACATGCCACAGACTGAGAGAAAAATATGAGAATCACTAATACGACAAAGGACTTGTGTGATGGTTAATTGTGTGTGTCCCTGTGACCGAACCCCAGGGTGCCAGGATATTTGTTCCTATGTTATTCTGTGTGTGTACTGGAGGGGGGATCTGGATGACATTAACACTGGAATAGGCAGTCTACGTGAAGCAGATTACCCTCCATAAAGTCAGTGGGCCTCATCCAATCAACCAAAGGCCAGAGGAGAAGTAAAAGGCCTAATGAGAAGGAAATACTTTCCCGGGTATCTGCCTTTCTGTCTTGGAAATTTCAGCCTCCAGAATCTCATGTCCAAAGTGTCTGTATACACACACATACACACACACACACACACACACCATATACATATACATAAATATATATTAATATATACATATATACACACACACACACTTCCTAGGTAAGTAGGAAGGATTGCATTTTGTAAAGCTCAGCCATTCGATGATAATTCTTGAAGCCGGCCAGTGATTATGGGGATGTTGTAGTGTAGGATTCTGTCTCCTTTTTTATACTGTTGAAGTTCTGCATTTGAAGAAGTAGGATAGAATAATAGCTGAATTTCTCCACAGACACTTCAAAGCCCTGGGGATTAACACAGAGTCAGAAATACCACCCATAATCCTGCCCCCAACCAGGGCTAGGGAGCACTGGGGACCCCAAGTGATTTTATTTAGCCAGGTCTGGGAGCCACATAACAGCAGAGGGAGAGGAAACACCAGACAAACAGAGGCCAGCACAGCAGCGAAGTCCTGTTAATGACAAAACACAGGTAAAGCCTTCCTCAGAAAGCGAGTGTGGAGAAACACAGATGAGGCCTGAGACCTGGTGCATCAGAACCCTGCTACTGGGCAATTAAAAACCTTTTCAGTACAATGTTAAACGGGAGCTATCCAACTCTTCCTATAAAACAAAAAGCACACACACATACAGAAACACAAAAAGAAAACATCAGCATACAAATACAGTAAATACATTCTACCATGTTTGGTAAACATAGACTAAAACATGGAAGAGTTTAGAATATAAACAGAGAAATAAGACTTTTTAAATTAATCTAAATTCTTATACACCAAAATCAATCATAATAAAGCTTAAAACATTATCCATAAAAAATCCAGTAGTCCAGAGTGAGAAGCAAAAAATGTTTTAATTGAAGAGATTTAAAACTTAAACATTTTAACTGATGGACTATAATTAATTTTGGATGCAAGTTAAAATTGGGGTAGAGAATCTTCTTTATCACAACAAAATGCCAGCAAAAAGAATTAAAATTAATTTAGGATGAAAGTTAAAATTTGGGCAGGGAATATTTTTTCTTATGCAGAATGCCAGCAAAAGCAAGTCTAAAGTAAGATTTTGCGATAGAAAATTTTCAAAGTACAGACATAAATATAATAACTGACACAGGCAGGGGTGGTTAATCGATGATAAAATACTCAGAGGAAGACCATTAGAATACAGGATATTGATACTGTTTCAAACCACTTTCCAAATTAATTATAAACAAGATGTCTTTACAAGGGACAGAGCTCCTAGACGCCTCCTTTACCAAGTGACCATCCTAGTATCACAACAATGGGGATGGACACACTGGGCCTTCTCTGCCTGCAGATGGACTGAGGTAGGAAGCTCACAGCATGGACTCTGCAGAGTTCCTGGCAAAATGTTTAGGCTGAATTTAATCATGAGGACATTTTCAGATAACTTCAGAATGTAGACCATTGAGCCAGACAGCTGACCTGTCCTCTACAAACATTCCATGTGATCACCATTAATGACAACAACAAAAAGATTAAGAGATGTTTTGGGTTCAAAATGACTAAAAAGGCACAAACTACATAGTCTTTTTAGTCTTTTTGAGCCCAAAATGTCTCTTCTCCTTTTTGTTGTGTTCTTGGTGGTGACATGGACTGTTTGAAGGGGACAGGTCAGTTGTCCTGTTCAGTGTTCTACATTCTGCAGTTGTCTGAGGGTTACCTCCTGTGAAACTCAGGCTAAGCGTTTTCAGCAAGAACATGGCATTGTTCATACTCTGCCCTGGCAGAGTCCCGGCTGACATGCAGTCTCCTGCCAGCAGCTCCTGACTCCTGTTCTCTACACGATGGGAATTGAGAGGAGCAGGGCTAAGGCCTGTGAATGTTGTTTGTCCATCTGGTCATTGGTCTCCCTAGGCATTGATCACAATTGGAGGGGGATGGACTGTGGCTTCTCAAATCAAAGGAGCATAGTGGGTTGAAATAATCAAGAGTATTCTGTGTCTAAAATTCAATCCTCAGTGAAGGACCCCTGCAGTATTGTGTTTGGATTTGAACTTTCTTTGCTGTTCTAGTTGTTTTCATCAAGTGTAAAAGCTACTTTTTGTGACATCCTTTCACCCTTTGCATCCTTCCAGCAGTATTTGGTATCTGTAGGGGAGAGAGAGAAAAAAATCAAATGAGCATTTTTGTCAGGTCCTCCTGATGGCTGAGTCTGGACGGATTGCTAGGTAGTGATATATCAGGGGCGAAAGAATCACCTGCCAGGAGGATGAGCTGAAGCGTGGGCCGTGGGTTTACTGAAGGGGGAAGCACCATCCACAAGTGAGAAGAAAACACTCCTAAACTTCCCTGAACTTCCAGTCAGCCTGGGGTGCAGGATATAAGGACCCCACCTATGCACAACCAGCAGTGGGGAACATCAGCCCTTTTCCTCCTGATCCCCTCTGTCTGGAGCAGAGTGATGGCTTTTCCTCCCCGTGAGGATGTGCTCAGCATCCATCATGCCTGCCCAGAAACAGAGGGGAGCAGGAGGAAAGGACCCTTTGCAGAGAACCCCACCCCCTTACAACTCCATGTCCTAGTCTTCTAGGGTGGAATGGGAGGGCCATGGGATGGCAGAAGCAGCAGGAACCTCAGACAACATCACATCCAGGTCCATCTTTTACGACAGAGGAGTAGTGATGCCACAGGGGTAAGATTGAACTAAGGCCACATGACTTGCTATTGACAACCCAGGAATTAGAATCCACCCACTAAGGCCGTTTCAATAAAGATTGGAGAAAGCGAGAGGAAAGGCTCCAATCTGGAGGTCTCAACAGTCATGAGAGACGGTTGGGTCACCTTGGTTAGGACGGCAATAAAGTTTTACAAATAAATATGATGTTGCTCCTGCTTCTTTGGCTGGTTAAAAAAAAAAAAAAAGATAATTATAAGTATTTGTCCAAAGGGGATCAGGAAAGAACGGGAATTTTTAAAAAGCGACTCAAAATGGTGTTAGCAAAGAGAGAGCGGGGGCTGTAACCACGGCCCAACATATTTTCCTTAATGCCCTGAAATTGATTTCACATCTGGTTCCACCTTAAGGCATTTCTAGAAATATTCTCAATATCTAGAGCAAGAAAACTCTGAAGTACAAAGTGAAATAGATTAGTTTTTGTTTTACTACATTCTCCCCTCCCACTTACTGTTTTCCCCTACTACATTTTGGGAAAGGTTTCTTTTTAATATTTTATGCCAGTGTGAAAAGAGGTATGAAGTAGTATTCATACACAGTCTCTTGCAGAATTTCAGTCTTACTGTGTTACTGTATTCTCTTCAGGATAGTGAGACTGATGAGTTCTCTTTCGCGATTTTGCAGAAGGACAATAATTGACCAAAAGTAAAATTTTCACATTGCAGTGGTGAGCGCATGAGTGGGCTATAAAATGGGTGTGGGGAAATGCAAACTGGAAGTTTTCTTTAAAATGCAAAAAAAAAGAAAAAAGAAAAAATACTAAATTCCACTATATGTAATATGGGAGGTATTATTTCAATACATTAAGTGTTAATATAATGACTATTTCTTATCTTTTATTCAAAACTGAGCAAGTGTCCTTCAAGCAGAGGCTAAAAGTCTAATCTATTAATTTTCTTGTTCGTCTTACTGATTTTTTCTATGCTATACAAACAGTACTATTGAGAGGGAAATACAGATCCCATCAAAGACTGATGGATACTCAGCCTTTTCTGTGGTGTAGCCACACGTATGTGACACTTCCATGTTGGTAACCTGAGGTCACAGTAGACCAGGGGTCCTTGTCACCTTTAGCCACATATTAGAATCACATGGGAGCATTTTAAAACTACAGATGCTCAAACCACACCCCAGGCCATGTGAGTGAGAATCTCGAGGTGTGAGTTCAAGGCATTCATCTTAATGGAAACCTCAGCAGGTGCTTATTACATGGAAGCAGGATTTAGAGATATTAAATGGACCAACCCAGTTTCTCATCATTTGCTTTCCTTTCCCCATTTCTCTCATGACTGGCTTTGTTCCCAGTGGTTCTATGTATTGTAGCCTTCTCCCTGACAATTTCAGTTCAATCTCTCTCTTATCAACTGGGCTGGGCCAAAGCAAAGATTGTCCTATAGACAGATTTTTGTCTGTCATCTTGTGTATGCATTAAGCTGGTCCTGGAGTCACTTTTCTCAAAGTTAATTCATAAAATGCTCTCTCATATACTCTGGCCTCAAGATTCATCTGACTTGCATTTTAGACCCTTCACTGGACTTGTAGAAGTGGAAATGAGAATAAAAAGGAGAGAGGTTGGAACGATGAACCTCATGATGGTTTTGAAGTCCTGCCCTGTGCATGTACTTTTGGAGTGATGTCCCTTTAGTATGTCATAAATGTTCTCCAGTTAACATAAGCTCAAATGAGTCCATGAGGTGAGAACACTGAGACCCTGGCAACCCCATCCACGTTGGCACTAGGCTGCACATCTTGAGCTGAAGACAAACCTGACTCCAGGCCAGTGGGGAACTCCCGCCTGTTACCCCAGTTCTAATTTAATTTCCTAAGTGGGGCTCTTTGTGCTTAGTTTTAACACTGCTCATTCAGAAGAACAAGTGATGATTAAGAGTTGACTCAGTTGGGTTGCTCAGAAGAAGACTCAAGAGGAAAATCGATGTGTAAATGATGTATTAAAGCAATGATTTCTGCAGAAAGAGGCAATGGAGTTGGGATGCAGAGAGGAAAGTTAAATTTCCCAAGAGAGAGTGTGATTCCAGGCAAATATTCCTGTGTTCAGCAGCTTAAACTATGCACTTGGATGAGGACAAGGAGGCCTGGCTCTCCTGTGGCCATGAGAGGGGCTGTCAAGACACTTGAAGAAGGAATAGAGCAGAGTTCAGAGAGCAAAGAGGATATGGGGACAGAAAGGGCCTGTCAGGGTGGGAGCCCATGGGACACAGAGGTAACACCAGACAGAGGTTACAGCTGCTGTTGGAGAGAACAAATGGAAGAGAAAAAGCAGTGGGAGAATGAGGTGTCACCATAGACAGAGAAATAAGAAGTGAGTGCAGCTATCAGCCATAGATGTGATTACCTCTGCACCCTAAGCTTGCAGGCCAGGGAATCTGCATGCCAGTCTCCACTTGCTGAATGAGAATTTTCTTTTGATGATCTTTGGTTTCAGGACACTGGAGGCGTGAATCTGGCCAATGACTTGACGCCCTTGTGTGTTGTCTCCTGAGCCTTTAAGTGCATCATCATCCAGCTGGGGAGGGTTCTTCATCCCCAGGGAGGGCTCTAAAACCAGCTCTGAAAATAAAAACACAGTCAGTGGGATTCACTGGCATCCATGACCTAATTGTGACTTTCTCTTCCACCCAGAGGACATCAAATCAAGAAGGGGGTCTTGGACAAGAACGTCCAACGGGTAAGGGGAAGCCAATAGAGTCACTTTAAAATTTTCTTTTTTGTTGATCTTTCCTACATTACTCAGCAATGACAAGATTGCCTGGAGCCAAAGGCACTGCCAATTTACATCCATAAGAAACACAGGATTAAGAAACACAAATAGCTTCCAGGTAGATAATATAAAGCCAAGGAAATAATACTCTATGTAGGCTATGCTTTGGGGAGAGCAGAGATTACAAAAATCAAAGTTAAATCAGAGCTGGGTTCAAACAGGAGATGGGAATGAAAGGGCCTGGCAGGGTGGCAGCCTATGTGGCACAGAGGTGAGGAGTAAAGGAAGACTAAACCTAGAGAATTTACAAAAGTTGCATCATTATATGATCTACTGCATATATATACAACCTATGTAGCATACACACCAGATATACATAGTCACATATAATGGGACAAATGATATAAATGCATATATCTGTACATGTTATGTTATTTTACTTTTTAATTTTTTTAATTTTTTTTTTTTTGAGACGGAGTCTTGCTCTGTCACCCAGACTGGAGTGCAGTGGCATGATCTCTGCTCACTGCAAGCTCCTGTGCCTCCCGGGTCATGCCATTCTCCTGCCTCAGCCTCCCGAGAAGCTGGGACTACAGGCACCCGCCACCACGCCGGGTTAATTTTTTTTTTTTTTTTTTGGTATTTTTTGTAGAAACAGGGTTTCACAGTGTTTGCCCGGGTGGTCTTCATCTCCTGACCTCGTGATCTGCCTGCCTTGGCCTCCCAAAGTGCTGTGATTACAGGCATGAGCCACCATGCCCGGCCTGTACATGTTATTTTAAAGGAAAAATATTATATAGGGATTTGGGAGAGATTGCATGTAACAGTATCATCACTATTCTGGTCCAATGAAATACGGAAAAAAAATTAGAGACATGAGAAGAATGAGAAAGAAAAGGTGTGGAAGAAACAAATGACCTGGTAGACAGCAGGGAGAAATCACCAGGTGAAGGAAAATATTAATGAAACAAAAGGCATTCACTCTGTCCTCTTACCTGGTGCCTGGTTCAGGCTCTGGACTCCAGGGAAAGTGAGCAACAGGGAGTGTGTCTGAGCCAGTGGGGTGAGTCTTGGCTGGGGGTGTGAGAATCCACAGAGAAGCAAAGAAGAGTCCAGTGGGAAGAAATCAGTTTAAATAAGTTTTCACGGCACGTGTCAGTGACTGCGCATCCCCCGACGCTCCCTGAGCGCCTTCCATGTGTCCTTTCCTTGGACCCAGATGGTGCTCATTATCTCACCCAACCCTTCCTCCTCCTGAGGACAGGGGTCCCCTCATTCCTCAGCCGAGGCCATCGCCTGACAGATGAGCACCAGGCAGCCCCAGGGGCTCCAGGAGGAGATACTGAGTGGGGCGGAGAGTGAGAATGAACACGACCCAGAGTTTTAAGGAAATCTGAGCAGAAGTGGATCCCTGTGAGACAGAAACTGAGGACATGGCCGTGGACATGAGTGGAGAATTTAAACTAAATGGAATTTCATAAAACAGACTGATGTGAACACTTTCCATGTGAAAGTTGCCCTTTTATTTCAAAAAAAGCAGAGGAAGCTGGACATGTCAGGAGACTGAGTGTGGGCCCAGGATTTGCACTGTTACTCAGTGTGCCTCATAGGTTGTTAGTGAAAGTGCCTGATAGGGGAAAATTAGCTTCATGAGGGATGGGGAAGGAGAGGAAGAAAACTGGCAGAGGAGTCTGTGTGAGAAAGGAAAGGAAGAGGGGCCCTAGAAAGCAGAGATCTTCATAACTGCTCTACCTCAGAGGAGACATCATCCGTGAAGTCACTTTCTAAGTGCAAATTGAGCAGAAAGATAAAAGGATTAGATAACACCTATTTATAGGTTTACGGGGCAATTCTTATGGAATCAGGCCCTTTGGAAATTATAATAATTAATATTCCCAACAGAGATTGCAGGTAGATATAATTTTTCAGCTATCTCAGATGAGGGAACAGAGATGTAAATAGCAAAAACACAAAAACCTAGGCTAAAGTCAACAAGCAGTAAGTGGCAAACCCAGGACCTGACAGCAGATTTGGTTCTAAGCTCCAGGACTTTGCTAACCTCACTGGGTTTGAGCATCATGAATTTCAACTTGACCCTGAGGAAGCACAGAGTGGTCCCATTCTCTCCTCCACCCACAGCACCGTGACCACCAACACCTGAATTAGAGCTTCATGACGCCGTTTCCTTCCCTACCTTGGAAGGGCCGTTGGTTCCCAGAATCAGCATTGGCTGAGAAGCTGCAAGTGGTAGAGGAAAGGCCCCGCCTGGCCAAGCCATTCCCTTGATCCAGCTGTAGTCGCAGAGATTTGGGCACCAGGGTGCTTGGCTCCAGCTGTGCCTGTGAAGCCTGCACCTCTGAGAGGTGGTGGCTCAAGTCTGCACTCCAAGTCCCTTGGGGACAGGCCCTCTTGGTGGGAGCTGAAAGGAGAAGGGGCTTCAGTAAGAACAACCTGAGTTTTCCCTTTGTTAAGACACCCAGAACACCCATCCCTAATGTCCCTGCTCTCAGTAAAGCCATCCGGTGACCCACGCCACACAGATAGACCTCATGTGAATGCAGGTGACATGACCTTTCCTGTCTGTGCCTGAATGCAAGCGACGTCACCTTTTCTGTCTGTGCCTGGGGACCCTGACAGGGCAGGGGCCCAGGCTGGGGTGTCCCTGAATGAAAAATTTCTGCTGCAGCCCAGAGGGCTTTGGATCGTCTAACAAGAACATCCCGATTATTCGGTTATTATTCATCTCCTTCCTGTGTCTAGAGGGAAAGTTCTAGAGAGCCCTCAGCTCGCAAGAGAGGCGGAGCTGTTTTTTCCTCACACAGGGGTGTAAGAACAGGCCAAGAGTTAGAGCTGCGAGGGTTTGAGAAAGAACCACGAGAAACGGGGCTGGGAGGCTACAGACCAAATACTAAGTGAGGCAAAATTTCTGGGTTCTGGGGCATTTTGAATTTCCCATTGCCTATAATGGTTTGACCCTCTACCCACACATATCCATCCTATTGCCATATAGTGGGTGTCAGCAGACAGAGTCAATGTAGGAGAGGGACCAGTCCCTTCCCGGAAATTCAGGGGCCACAAGAGCCACAGATCATCACGTGCGGTTCCTTAGGAAGGTCACAGAGGACACGATCCTCACATTACCCACTGCTCCAGTGGCGTTCGGGTGGCACCCCTTAAACAAATTCTTTCCATTTCCCCAGGGAGAGGAACACACATTCTGAGTGGACTAAGAAAAGACTTCCAATGACATTACGCCAGTCCAGGTTGGGCTCAGGATACAGACGGGGCCTGCAGGGCTGGATCCACGTTGCTGTGGGGTCCTCTCTCTCCTCCCCTCTCCACATCCTCATTCTCTGCAAGGTTTTCTGTTTTCTTAAAAATGCCTCAGTGACCTCAGCTCCAACATGGAGATGCCACTGCCCACTCACAAGTGTCCCTTGAACCCTGAATGGGTTATAGCAGGACAGAGCTTGCTTGCAAAGGGGCAGGACATACAGCAGGTGCAAGGACAGTGTGTATTTTAATTGTTTCATGAATCACTGTGATCCCAGAAAAGTACTTGCTTTTTTGAAACTCAGGGAGAAATGCAAAATGGGAATGGGGATGGTCCCAGTATGAAAGGCACTTACTGACCAAAATAGAATAGAGGCCAACATTTTTGTTGCTAGTTTCTTTCTGTGTGTGTGTGTGTGTGTGTGTGTGTTTGTGAGAGAGTGACACAGGGTCTCATTTTGTTGCTCAGGCTGGAGTGCAGTGGTGAAATCGTGGCTCACTGCAGCCTCAACTAACCAGGCTCAGGTGATCCTTCCACCTCAGCCTCCTGAGAAGCTGGGACTACAGATGTGTACCACCATGCCCCTCTAATTTTTTTTGTAGAGACAGGGTTTCACCATGTTACCCATGCTGGTTTCAACTCCTGAGCTCAGGAGATCCATCTCCTTGGTCTCCCAAAGTGCTGGAATTACAGGCGTGAATCACTACACCTGGCATTTTTGCTAATTTCATTACAACATAATTCAATATACTGAGGGACAGCACAGAGTTACTTGCTCTTACAAGAAGACAATGTAATGGGTAAAACCCCCAAAAATCTACATGAAATTCCCAGAATAGAAGTTAAAAAAAGAGAGAGAGAGAATGAACAAGAAGAAATGGAAACTGGATTTTGTTTTTACACGTCCTGTGGAGCTGCTATCTCAAGGGGCACTTACTCAGAGGAAGGGTTTTCTGGACGTCATGGGGACAGGAACCACTCTGCTTTGCTCATCGGTTACGCCAGAACCTCATGAGGGACACTAGTTGTTGATGGTTTTCATGAGAATATAGCACTGAGACCAAAACTTGATTGAAACTAGAAACCCACACGTGGAGAAAACCACTGGAGCTCTGCAGAGGATGCAAGCCTGGCCACGCATAGAGGAAGGGACGCTGGACTGCGTCAGTGGAGGGAAGACCCCTCAGAGGAAGTAGAGCCGCAGTCCCCAACCTTTTTGGCACCAGGGTCTGGTTTCATGGAAGACTGTTTTTCAGGGACTAGGTTAGGGGGGATGGTTTTGGGATGATTCAGGTACATTACATTTACTGTGCACTTTATTTCTATAAATATTACATTGTAATATATAATGAAACAATTATACAACTCACCATAATGTAGAATCAGTGGGAACCCTAAGCTCGTTTTCCTGCAACTAGATGGTCTCATCTGGGGGTGACAGTCACTGGGAGCCAGTGACAAATCAACAGGCATTAGATTCATAAGGAAAGCACCATCTAGATTCCTGGCATGTGCACTTCACAATAGGATTCGAGCTCCTGTGAGAATCTAATGCCCCTGCTGATCTGACAGGAGGTGGAATCCAGGCTGAAAAGCTCTCCCTCCGCTCACCTCCTGCTCTGCGGCCCAGTTCCTAACAGGTCATGGACCCATAACGGCCCATGGCCCTATGGCTGGGGATCCCTGAAGAAGAGAAACTAGCTTGGGACACAGGAATCATGAAACAGGCCTCCAAATAATCAGGAAAAACTCCAATCATAGTTGGATGGCCAGAGAAGAGATAAGGACATGTAGTTTGCAACATAATTTCAGAAAACAGAGATGCCGTATCTTAAAGAAGAGGGTCTGTTATATAAATATACTGTGGCCAAGAATTTGCCATAAGCCCTCACCACACCCCTGTCTGGCCTGTTTTGACAGTCACAGTCTGCTCTTGTGAGAAGGAGCCAGGTGACAGACGAGGCTCTTGGAACAGGAGAAGAGGAAGTTCTACCCAGTGGATGTCTGTGCTGAAAACTGCATCCAAGAGCCAAATTCAAAACAGGCTCAGTGTCTAGGGCCTGCCTGCGGAGGTGGTCTGTCTCAGCTGCACGAGTTGCAGAAACAAAACATACAGAGGCTCCCTGGGAGGACAGTGGAGCTTTGTGACCTCCAGGCTGGAGTACTCACAGGCTGTATCCAGAGCAGAGCAGGCAAGTTGATCCTCCAATGAGGACAAGGTGCTGCTGCTATAAGGCTGGTGGCAGTCAGATAGGTCACGGTGAACTAAAGGAGTCAAGTAAACTTCATCCACGGAGTCCTCTGGCATTTCCTGCTCCTTCACCTCTGGCAGATCCTGGATCAACCTGGGGTAAAGATGACAGAAGATAAACAACAGAGAGAAGGAACACCACTGCGCCCAGCTGGTTCTATAGGGAGGCCCTCAGGAAGGCCCAGAGGAAACAAAGTACAGTCCCCTCAGGGAGATACAACCATCCTTCCCTGTCTTGAGCAGGAAACAGAGTGTGACAGGCTCTCAGTGCACTGGGTAGGCAATGAGCTGGGGAGGAAAGAGATGGAGTGATCCCTGTGGGAAACTGCCAGTACACAATGCATTGGGCACTTTTTTTTTTTTTTTTTTTTTGAGGCGGAGTCTCGCTCTGCCGCCCAGGTTGGAGTGCCGTGGCCGGATCTCAGCTCACTGCAAGCTCCGCCTCCTGGGTTCACGCCATTCTCCTGCCTCAGCCTCCCGGAGGCTGGGACTACAGGCACCCGCCCCCACGCCCGGCTAGTTTTTTTTTTTTTTTTGTATTTTTAGTAGAGACGGGGTTTCACCATGTTAGCCAGGATGGTCTCGATCTCCTGACCTCGTGATCCGCCCGTCTCGGCCTCCCAAAGTGCTGGGATTACAGGCTTGAGCCACCGCGCCCGGCCCGCATTGGGCACTTTTCATACATTTTGTTGAAATTAGTATCAGTAGCCAAATTAATACAGGCTCTTGAGGCTTCCCAGACAGAGTTCCTGTACCCTCAACATCTCTTGCTCTCAACATTGTAGCATGACAGAGTTATTTTCATTCACTTTTCTGCTGTCAAATACTTGCAAACATGGTAATGCCAAAGAGGCAGACATCAGATGTGCAGCTCAACTTCACTTAAGCAAAAAGGACAGAAAAGGGGACTGCAGAAAATGTCTCTGACTGATCAGTTCAACAGAGTTAACTGAATTCAGATTAGTAGAATTCAAATGAATTAATAAGGAAGAAATACAAATACAGGTGTACAATGAAAAGAGTCAACCTTATGAATATGGCTATTTCATGGTTGGCTGAACAGGTGGAACAGGTATATTCTGCACACACTGATTTTCCCTGCATCTGAGACTCCGGATATCAACACTGAATTAACTGTCCAGGATTCCTCAGAGTTACCTGGGGCACGGCGGGTCTTGATCTTCTAGCTCCTCTTGATCCTTTTCAATTTCTGCAAATAAATTCAGACAGAGACAAACACATTAAGCAGGTTCTCCTACACACACAAACAGCCCACTGTACAGTCCTAACATAGGAACATCAGTTTCCTCAGTGGGAGAACAAGACAATGTGAGAGAAACATTCCAGGAGGCCTGAGGTCCTGTCAAGAGAGAGATGCCTTGGTTTTCTTCCCTGAGCCTAGTAATGAAATCTCCCTGTTGTTATAGATCGTTATCACAACATCAACAGTCCTGATTTTGTGCAAATAGCTATGCAAATTTTTCACACCAATTCAAGGCAAACACTTCAATGGCTTTCTAGAAGGAAAACTGCACTATTCAGCCTTCAGTCATCAAATACCCACATTGTTCAAGGTTGCAAGGATTTTAGACACTGAAATTAGAATGAAGGAGAGAACGTACAGACCCTCGAATCAGAATGAAACTTTGGTACTACAAAGAGACATTGGTTGTTTGTGACATCTAGGAGTGACAAGGCCCAGTCTTGTTTCTAGACACATAACAAAAGCAAATGTACTGCTCACCTAAAACAGGCTAACATCAGAGACACAGATAATGAGGCTAGGTTCTTTGAAACCTGGGTAATATCTTTAAGGAAAAGTAGACTAAGATGCCACAGGCCTTGGGCAGGCATAGAATCTCAAAGGACATGGTTGTAGAAAGGAACTTGTAAGGAACACAATAGCTGGCAAGACAAATCTTATTCAGATTAAGAGGCCTGACCGACACCTGTGGGGCACGTGCTGCGTAGGTTGGTTTGAATTTGTCAATGTCGTGACAGTGGGCCAGGGTGACACAGGCCTGGTCTGAGATGAGGAAGCGAGCAAAGCTTACTGACCCAGCCCATGTCTGTGCTTCCAACTTGATTTTCGATTCTGACGCAAATCATCCTGTGTCTGTGAGTCATGCCCACCCCAGTGACACATCTCTGTCCAGCCAGGGGTGCAAGAATTACAGAGTCTACCTGGGACACCAATTGGAGATTTATTGTGGTCACAATGGAGTACTCACTGTCTACAAGAGCCAAGCTGACTTGCTTTTCTTCAAAACAGTACGAAGTGCTCCCATAAGGGCGGTAGGAGTGAGGTAGTTCAGGAAGGATGGAAGGAGTCAAGCAACATCCATCCAGTGACTCCTGAGGGACTTCATGCTTGTCCACCCTCAGTGGTCCCCTGCTGAGCCTGTAAGGTAGGAAGGAGTAAGGATTAATCCAAGGAGTTTCAGAGCCCTGCTGGATTCACGTGAGGCAGGAGGCAGTGATGGCAGAAATCAAATGGGGCAGCCCATTAAAGAGTTCAGTATTCTTCTCTTCTCGGTGGGTCATAGTGTGGTTGTCATGGGGTCGGTTGCAATACAGAGAGAGGGAAAGAGAGATGAGAGAGAGAGAGAGAGAAGCATCAGGAGCTCAGCAAAGTGGCCAGATCACGATTTTCTGAGGAAGGAGACTGAGTCTCTCTGTATGGTACAGTTGTGACTTACTGAATATCCTGTTCCATAACGGCGGCTTCATTCCTTTTTTAAAAATGGTATTAAATTTTATGTGTGGGGGCCAAGTAAACATAGCATTTGAGGCATAATTATATCCCCAAACTCTCATGCCATGAAGTCCTTCTTCTCTCATTATTATGTGTGGTATAATAATTTTTTTCTACCCGATTTCTTTGCCTAGAAATGCTTAGCATTGTGTTAATGCAAAACTAGCAGAAAGCAGAAATGCATCTCAGTCTGGTTGAAAACATAAGAGGATTGCTGCTTTAAGGAAATCGCTGGGACTGATTAGTTTTTCACAAGATCAACTGGTTTTATGTACTGAACCTGAGAAGTTAACACGAAATGGCTAACAATGCAAGGATCACAATGAAAATGTAAAACATGGTTAGAAAGGATCATTTCTGGTTGGCTGAAGGGATGAAGTAGGTATATTCAGGACTTTCTGGTTTTCTGGGGATATGAGTTCCACAGGTGTCACCCTGAATAGACAGCCCCTGAATTTCTTTAATTACCTGGGATCAACTGTTTCTTTTCCTTTCACCTCTTCAAGATTATTTTGCTTTTCTGCAAGTAAATTAAGAGAAGACCAGTCAGATGAACTTGATCACATTTATACATTCAGAACCTTGCGTCCAAACCTACCTAGGGGTATAAATAAACTCGGTGTGATAACAGGCTATTGTGAGAGAAATTTTCCAGGAGGCCTCAGGGTGAGCCTTGTGAGAAGTCACTAGGTGTGCTTTCCTGAGCCATGGAGCAAATCTCCCTGATATGACAGGTCATCATCACAGTCCCTTCTGTCCTGAGTCACAGCAAAATGTTAACCATATTCTATTTACTAACAGATCCTGGAGATCTATTTAAATGTTTCCTAGCAGGTTACTGCAGTATTCAGTATGTTTCCTTCTGATAACCTATTTTTGGTGTTTTTGTAGAATGTACATTTAGAGGGACAGATTAAATCAAATGATTCTCTAACGCTACATGGAAACATAGGCCTTTCATGAGGCAGGGAGTTCCAGGGCCCAGCCTCCTTTCAGAAACATACCAAATCTAATAGTGGTGTCATGTTCTGGTACTCAGAGACTTCTTAGCTAAGACAAGCCTGCTAAAAGGGGAGGGAGTCTAGCCTGAGAGAAGTGAACGAGGGTAATGACAGCTCTAAGGATATAGATAAGGCTGCCAGTGGCCTTGGACAGGCAGAGAAACTCAGGTTGTTTGAGAAGGAAAATTAGAAGATTTCATGTGAGATGACAGATGAAATCTAAATCAGGAGGACTGGTGGATACATCCTGCACCCAGGCTGCAGAGGTGGGTATGAATTTGTCAGGTCAACCTTGGGTACAGTGATTTGCCAATGGGGCAAAGATGAAAGACAATGTGTGGTTTTGGAGGAGGATGGAGCAAAACACTGACTCCTAGGATGCCTTTCTTCAAACTCAATTCTAGAGCCTGGTTCTACCAGTGTATAAGCATATTGTCTTCCTGAAGGTATGACATCTGTCATTATGGACAGATTGTGGGGTGCAAAGAATAGGGAGCCTACCTAGGAAGCTAAGTGGGGCTTCATCCCATTTGGAATTGGAGTAATCCCTGGCAACATCCTGAGCAGAGCAAACTTTCTCTTCATCCAGTGCCAAGAAAGTGACTTCATGATGCAGGTAAGAGTAGGATATATCATGGTGTCTAGAATGAGAAAAAACACATTCCTCTAGTAAGTCCTGCAGGACTCCCTTCTCGTCAGACTCCTGCACCCTCCTGATGAGCCGGGTAGGATAGGAACGACAGCAGATTAGATCAAGACAGACTCAACACCACAGACAGCAGATTAGATCAAGACAGACTCAACACCACAGCGTCTCAGGTGATTTGATAGGACACAAAGGGAGTGGTCAGAGAAAGCGAAGGGGGAGCCTCTCCAAGAGAGAAAAGTCATCCTTCTAAATGTGGGGTGGATGTGACTGCCCTGGGGACAGAGCAAATGCCTGCAGCAGGTGCTCAGGGCACTTGCCATAAAGGAGCTGCTGCAGGAGACCCAGACTCTCCCTGTAAACTAGCAGCATGACCTGCAGCAGAGAGAACTAACACAGGCCTTCACTTCCTTCACACAAATAGCGTTGACATTTACATGCAGCATCTAAGTGAACAGAGCTCTTGAGGCATTCCAGACACATAGATGCTGTGTTTTTAAGTTCCCCCTTTTTGAAATTTTGACATCATATGAAATTTTTATTTTTAATTTCTCTCTTGCAATTAAGTAGTTGCCAACATGCTGACACAAAACAGAGAGAAAGCAGATATGCATCTCACTCTGGATTAACCACATGGGAGACCACAGGTGAGATCAGGATATCCCTGAGTTTAGTCAGTTCACCTGGCTCAACTGATTATCAGTTCCCATGCTTGAGCGGGATTAAGAAATGAAAGCTATTCAAGTACCACAATAAAGAAGACAACATTGTAAAAGGGGTAATTTGCAGTTGGATGAATGGATGAGACAATTCTATTCGTCACTTCCTATTTTCCCTGGATCCGTGGTGTCCAGGTGTCACTACTGAACTAACAGCCCACAAATCCATAGTTACCTGGGGGGCACTGGCACATTCCCCTGTTCTTCCTGACGATCATTTTGATTTTCTGTAAACAAATTCAGAAGAGCAGGTCACAGTAAGGAATCAGTGCCCAGTCATGGCGCAAGACACAAATATCTTCAGTGTAAGAATGTGACATTTTGACAGGAAGGTTGTAAGGCACCGTAAATTAAGTCTTGTCAGAAGTAGATGAGCCTCCTTTCCAGGCCCATGGAACAAAGTCTCCCTCATCTGGTAGATCATAATCACCTCTCCTTGGACCTAAGTCTGCGCCAACAGTTAAAGAAAACTTTTCTCACAAGAATTCAAGAATTGCCCTAACTACTCTCCAGAAGTGTTGTTGCAATACCGATTTATGTCATCAAATATCATGGTCAGTGAATGGTTAGAGAAATTTATATAGAAGACTGAACTGATGGATAAATTCTAACAACCCCTGCATAAAAATGGATCTGTGGTGCTACACAGATACATTGGCCACTCATGGTTTGAAGAACTCAGAGCCCAGCCTTGTTTAGGGAAACTACAAGCAAGATAAAGGTAGCAGTGTTTATGTCCTGCTTTCAAGGTGGCTGCTTAGCTGGGACAAGCTGATTTAAAGGAGACCAAGCCTGGGGCTGAGAACAGTGAATGCAGAGAAACAACAGCTTCAAATACACAGGCAAGACTGCCAGTGGCCTGTGACAGGCATAGAAACTCCATGAACATTGTAGAGGGACACAAATCATTATTGCATGTGACAAGAGACATAGGAACTGAACCAGGAGGCCTGACAGCTACCTCCTGTACACAGATGGCTATGACTTTGTCACACCTGCCTGTGGTCCAACATGCTGACATTGGGGCCAGGAAGACAAAGTGATGCCACAGGCCAAGGAGGAGAGGAAAGTTCTCTGACCCTCGGATAACTGTGTGCAATATTCCCTCATAGTTTCTTTTCTTTTCTCTCCCTTCCCTTCCTTTCTCTCCTTCTCTCCTTTTTTCTTTCTTTCTTTCTCTTTCTTTCTTTCTTTCTTTCTTTCTTTCTTTCTTTCTTTCTTTCTTTCTTTCTTTCTTTCTTTCTTTCTTTCTCTTTCTTTCTTTCTTTCTTTTCTTTTCTTTCTCTCTTTCTCTCTCTCTCTCTCTGTTTCTCTCTCTCTGTATTTCTTTTTCTTTTTTTTTGAGACAGAATCTCTGTCTGTCACTCAGGCTGGAGTGCAGTGGTGCAATTATGACTCACTGCAGTCTCTGCCTCCTGGGTCCAGATGACTCCCCCCATCAGCCGCCCGGGTAGTTGCGATGACAGGCACGCACCATCATGTCTGGCTAATTTTTCATATTCTGTGTAAAGATTGGTTTCACCACATTTCCCAAGCTGGTCTTGAACTCCTGAACTTAAGTGACCCACCCACCTAAACCTCGCAAAGTGCTGGGATTACAGGTATGAGCCACTGCACCCAGCTCTGTCTTAGTATGTAAATCAAACCAATATGTATGTATGCAGCCTGTCCTCAGAATTGATCTTCCTCAGCCTAGACAGAGGGAGGAGGGACAAAGAATAGAGAGGCTACCTGGGAGAATGTTTAGAGCTTCCTTCTCTTCATCATGAGAGGGTTCATTCTGTACAACCAGAGCAGAGTCGACTTTGTCTTCCTCAGATGTGATTTTGGTGCTCCTGTGAGGCTGGTTGGAGTCAGATGGGTCGTGACTATTTGAACAAGTGACAGCACATTCCTCCAGTGAGTCCTGAGGGACTTCCTTTCCTTCAGCCATCTGCACCTCCCTGATGAGCCTGGTGGGATAGAAATGACAGAAGATTAAACCAAAAGGCATTGGACCAGGAAGTCCTACTGGTTTTGACAGGAGGCATAAGAGAGTGGTCTCAGAAAGCAAAGGGGAGTTTCCCTTTAAGAAGGAACAGACAGGCCGGGCGCGGTGGCTCACGCCTGTAATCCCAGCACTTTGGGAGGCCGAGGCAGGCGGATCACAAGGTCAGGAGATTGAGACCACGGTGAAACCCCGTCTCTATTAAAAATACAAAAAATATAGCCGGGTGAGGTAGTGGGCGCCTGTAGTCCCAGCTACTCAGGAGGCTGAGGCAGGAGAATGGCGTGAACCCTGGAGGCGAAGCTCGCAGTGAGCGGAGATCGCGCCACTGTACTCCAGCCTGGGGGACATAGTGAGACTCCGTCTCAAAAAAAAAAAAAAAAAAAAAAGGAACAGACAATCTTCTCCTCTCTGCAACAGAGCAGAGAAAACCAGAGATGAAAGAGTGGCTGGTGATCATTGCACTGGGTAGGTAGGAGCTGAGGACGGAGACTCAGCTGTCTCTGTATGGTACAGTCTTGAGAGCACACACAGAGACGAAAAACAGCTGCCACACGGTGTGTCTAAGCTGGGTTGTAGTTAACCTACTGTGGCCACAGGAATACAGGCCTTTGAGCCATTGTAGACTCCAGAGATGGTGTGCCTTCTAAATTTATTTTTATTTTAATATTGTGACATGAAATGTAAATTCTTTGTCTAGGTACTTTTCTTTGTGTTCAGCTTTGCTAGGTACTTCCTAATTCCTCTGTTTGTTGCCTCTCTGCTATTTATCTTTCCTTTAAAGAACATAAAGACAACCGTGTAGAAAGCAGCTTTGCATCTCCTCCTGGCTTTCACTGCAGAGAAGAACATGTCTCCTTTGTGTGTGCAGGAAGTCCCTTGGGCTGTGAGTTCATCTGGGGTCATGCTTACGCGTACCATGAAGACAATGGACAAGCATGTTAACAGGGCTATTTCCTTGCTGGGTGAGTGCATGAAATCAGTGGACTCTGCAGGTTTCTTATCCTGCATCTGGAATCTGTAACTACCTTCACCTGCCTTGTGTTCTTTCTGAGACCCTTTTCATATTTTACCACCCATTACCCGCTCCTGATTATTCAGTGTTACCTGGGGGCAGGTGATTCCTGTACTTTCTCAACCTCCTCATCTTTCTCATCTTCACCCTCATCTTCATCATTCTCTGCAAATACAGAAGTGTCCATTCAGATATTTCCCACTTCACCTATGCAAGTACAGTGAGCCCTATGTGCACGGATACACAAACATCTGTATGTATGAGACCAGACGGTACAAGAGCTCTCATGTTTTATCTTTAACAAAATGCCCTGGAATGGTTTCCTCATCCATGAGGCAACGCATTTCTGATCTGCAGGGTCACCATCAAGATGTGGCCAAATATTGAAAAGATCTTTTCCTCTTCATATCACTGCAGGCTTGTCCAGCCTCTCTCTGGACTTCAGCAGCTGTCTCCCCAATCCTGCCACAGATCTGATTCCCAGGCACAGGCTCTGTGTCCTGTCACAGCTCACATTTCGAACCTGTATCTTTCTCTTAGAACAGGACAAACAGCCTTGTCCCACAATACTCCATACATCAGGGACTTCATGGGCCCCTCAAGTGGCTTCGATTGTATTATCCAGGGACACTGTCTCCATGGGGAGTGCTCCAGCCTCAACCACTTCCTACCACCAAATGCCAGCACTTCAAATACCTTCTCCAACAGCACACAGCAAGGGGCTTTATCTTATTGTGAAATATAGTCATAAGTGTTCCCACATTTGAATGCCAGAGACAATTTGTTTACCTTTACAGATTTAGAGACAGAAACCCAGGAAGGATAAATTAATCAGTTGGGCACAGTTGCTAAGGACGTCGTTGAAGATAGAGCCTGGGAACCTTCACTCTTAGGCCGGGCTCTTTTCACTCTAACAAGCTGCCTCCTGTCACAGCCTCCTTCCTGTCCTTTAAAACTGGACGAATGCTGCCTCTTGCTCCAAAGACCATGTTCCATCAAGAAAGGAGGAGACCTTTGCAATACCGTGACCTCCAGCCCCATGGGTTTCCCATCTCTGTTTTTACCCAGGAAGTCCTGGTCATGTCACAGCCACAAATGTTTACGGGAAAGATACACTATCCATAAAATGGTCATTGTGGAGGTGTGGAGGTCTGGGGACTTCCATAAGCCTAGAGCTGTGTGTCATCAGGGCCCGTGGCCACCTCACCTGGACTGAGCTTGTGGAGAAGGCGCTCTGCCAGCCGGCGCCCCTCAGCCAGCTGCTCTCGGAGGTCCTGACCCTGGAACTTGTCAAGGTCATCAGGAGCGAGGAGGGCCTTGAAATGCTGATTCAGTGAGCGGGAGGCATCTCTCCCTTCCTGTAACTTCTCCCGTAACTGGGTCAGCTCTCGTGCCTGAGAGTGAACCAGGGCTTTATATTGCCTAAGGTGAGATAGTAGAGAACATTTAATAAAAGAAAGGAATGAATGATCAGTTTTAATACTACAATATAGATATCTTTCAGAATGTCTTCAAGGAGACCTCCAAGGAGAAGGTCAGCACATGTTTGGAGAAATGCCTGTGGCCAAGAGAAAAATAATAATATTAATAAAAATATATTTTTAAGGTGTATATATATGTATTTTAAGGCTTCCTCTATGTAAGAGAGTGCTCCTGTAAGATCCTCGATGATGTTCCATTCATCTATTCTTTCTGTAAACAAAAGCCTGTGTCTTTCTAGATCAGTTCCAAATGGATTTCTTTTCAGTTCGTCACTTTGGCCATAGACATTTCTATATGGAAATTCACACAGTGCATCTTGCAGTAAATAGAGCTAAAGCCATGCAAAGAAATGTGACCAGGTGCAAATGCAGTGGATTGGTAAGATATAAGAAGAAAAAAATAACAGGGTCAAGACCACAATACTGATTGAACTAATGACATGCAGCAGTCAGTCAGGAGGCGATTCTAACTAAGAGTAAATGGGGTGGTGATCACACACCATTTTAGTGTGCTAAATGCTGCTGGGTGGTTCGCTTTCTTTTGCATAACTTTGGTTATGCAAATTTCACCTCAACAATTCCTTGTTTTAAAAAGAGAAAACAAGGTTCAAGAAATAACTGCAACCCGTAACTTACTAAGATGACTGTTCTCTATTTTATAAATATTTGTGTGACATGTGCTTGCCATGTAAATGCCTGCCCTTGCCCTGACCCAGCTTAGCTCTTAGTTCTCCCAGCTGAGTTGCTGCACTTCAGAGATTCACACTCCTGCCCATCTGCCTGCCCCCAATGGGGCCTACTCACCCGAGCTCCTCAGCTTGTCTGAGCTTCTCTGCCAGCTTCTCCGTGAATTGCTGTTCATCCCTCAGCACAGAGTCTATGATGTCCTTGTACTCTTCGCATTCTGAGAAAAGACAGACATGCCTGCCTCAGTGCAAGGCTGAACAAGCTGCTGGGATCACTGCCTACAGGGCAGGTGGCAGCATACATCCAAAAGATGAAAGCAGCCCCAGTACCAGGCTCTAGGCAGGCATTTCCACATTTTTATTTATCAGCCTCTTAACTTTCTGGCATCTGATACTCCCCAAGATAGAGATGGGGAGAAAGAAACTCAAGGGCACATCAAGTAACTTGACAAGATGATTCACCTGGAACAAGGCAGAGTCAGAATTCACAGCTCCTGAGGTCTGACTCTGAATCTTGGGTTACTTCCCCAAGTCTTGCAGCCGTTCCTGTAAAACACTGCGCTGGGGCATGAAGTAATGATATCCTGCACAGTCGGAAAGACCCTTAGCACTATGGGACTCATGGTTTCCCTGGTACTGGAAATTTCAAGCACAAGTATGTCAAATATGTAAAATATCATATCTGAATATAATTGCATAAAATATGAGGCATAACACCCAAAGGCTATAATAGAAATATGCCCAAATACTAATAAACTTTGAATTAAGTTAGACACAGTAGAATGAAGAACTAATAGAGAGTGTTTTCTCTGTGCCAATAACTGTTCTAGAAGATTTAGAAGAAATGGATCATGTAAGTCATTGCACCACTTTTCTGGGGTACGTGTTATTATAGTACCCAGTGAACAGATGAAGAAACGTAGGCACTGAGAAGATAGGCAACTTGGATGGAGCCCAGGAGCCCAGGGTCCCTGCTCTGCACACTACACTGCTACCTCCACAATTTCTTATGTGCCAGCTTTCTTCCTCTTTAGGAATAAGAGTCTGTGCCCCAGGAAGCAGGACTTCCCTCTCACCATGGTACTCCCTGCTCTTGATGCTGTCACTTATGGCTGCCGCAGTTACTATTAGGAGCAATCTCCTCTTTAAACTCCTTAGAGCGGGTGCTGTGTACTGTCACTATGTTTCCCCCAGGGTGCCCAGAATAGAGCTTTGCCTAATGGGCCTCAAAGAAGTTTGAACTGAATGGAAGTTCATTAGTCCCAGACGTTTAGACCAACAGAGTAGATGTTACCTGTCTGCAGCATCTTACATGGTACAGAGAGGATTCTCATAAACATGATTTAGCCTATTGCTGAGAAAAACAGGTGGTTCTGTTGCCTGTGTCAGCAGTCAATATGATGGATTTTAATTCTACTCTCACCTCACACCAGACTGCAAATGTGGAAAAGTTGCTAAATACTTTGTGCCTCTGTTTTCCATTCTTAACACCATGAAGTTAAAAAATCCATTTCTATTTTCCTAGAGGTATGGGAAGGATGACATTAATTTTGATGAAGAGACCGTTCAGTTTCTCAGAGGCCACAGGTGGTCATTCATCACTTTTGTGATGGTGAATCTATAGATAGAACTTACTGTATTTCTTTAGCTGGTTGGCCAGGGAGTAGGCAGTAGCTTGAGTTATAAGGAATTTCTCTTTGAGGTCTCGGAACTGCTGATTGCTCTCTGCCAGCTGGGTGCGCAATTCCTTGTTGATTTCTAGGATGTTCATCTCTGCCCTCTTGCCGGACAAAGGGTCGGCAGATACCACCATGCTGACGTTTGTGGCAGAAAAGGTAGCGCCAGGGACTGGGGGGAAGAAACCCAAACACATGATGTGTCAAAAACTAGTGAAATCAGTTAGGTTTAATCAGGACTGAGCGATGACAATAACTGGAATTGTTAACTTACAGTTGAGAGAAACTTGATCAACACCCACAACACTTTAGAGTCCTTAACCGCAAAAACAGGGTCCAGGATGCCTGAGCTCAGAGCTGAATGCACTGCCTATAGCTCCGACTCTGACAAGAGTGAGGGAGGTAGCAGCCAGCGTGCCAGGTAACGGTCTGCAGTTGCAATAACAGAATTAGAAGGTGGGGGTGTCATGGAATCTTAGGAGCCCTGTATTCCAATTGCCCAGGATGTGCTGAAACACTAGGGCCCTGGTCTCACCTGAGGGTCACTGATGGGGACCATTTCTTCAGCAGTCACTCTCAGTGTTAGTGCACCCTTGTGACAATGCTATAGGCCCACCTCTTTCCCAATACATCTAAGCCTATTCCTCATTGCTCATCCCTTGTGTGTATAAAATCGTCAAGGTAGAGGTAGTTTCCCAAAAGCTTGTATTTTCTTAGTGGTAGTCACAAAATCAGTCCACCTTCTCTAAGTTGAATCAGATCCTAAGGCTTTTCCACATGTGAAAGATATCAGACTTTTAGACTGTGATATCCCCTGGGTCTTCTGCATTTTTTTCTGTAGCTACTGAAAAGTGAATGAATAATTCATTTTTAAAAATATTTTCTCTCCTGGATCATTATTCCTCTTGCTGCATCCCATTGTTATGTTGATTTCTTTTCTCTTACTGGGGCAGCATCTTGGCTTTTTATTACACTTAAGACCAGTTTCACATCCCTATGTCCATAGCTCTTCCTCTATGTGTAGGTTGATTTGTTTTTTAGTGTCACTGAACACTCGTTTCATACTTGTCACAAATATCATTCTGGTCCCACAAGAGCTCTTTTCAAGGTATTAAGTGATCAAAATCATTTGTACATATCCCCTGAAAACATGTATGACCATGTATCTTGGGAAATCTTGTAAACCCGAGGCTATTTTGTTGTTTTTGGTTTTCCCATATATTGAAAAGAACATGGCCTTGAATGCTTCTCAGAGAATATTATTGGATATATACATATGTATATATTGAGTTGCTCTAACACCGTTGATGTGTGGTTGCATTCCAGTAACAGAACCTGGCAAGATCAAGCTCACTATCAGGTGTGGTTGGTGATCCTCCGTGTTCCTGTGCAGCAGAAGGTGAGTTTGAGATGAGAGGGACGAGTAGGGGAGCGTGCTCCCCCGAACCACCTCCTCACTTTCTCAGCTTCCATCCTCAACTAGGTTTTTTGAGGCTAGGACTTGGGAATTTGTCCTGTAGCCCAGATCTCCTAAGTGTGGCTGCTGGACTTGCCTGAGTTGAGGGCGTGATGAGTGTGACCATGGGCTACCCAACATTCATGTGGAAGTGAAGGGAGGAGGACTGGATCAATCCCATTGGAAAGCATTCCTCGTAGCAGCCCGCACCATCCTCCAACTACACTGTGTAATGACAGTGGTTTGAGATGTATTAAAGGCTATAAATTTATCTATTCTCTGGTGTCTCAGAGACTTGACATTCTGTGTCAGAGTGAAAATCTGTCTAGTTTCTTCATTTTAAAAATGATGAAACTGCAGGTTCACAACGTTACATGGTTTACTTGAGGTCATACAGGGATGAATTTTGAGCACTGCCAAAGAAAGGAATCACAAAAGCTATTCAGTAATTATTTATAGAATTCATGTAATTCAGTAGTCACAAAATTATTTATTGACCAGTTCATACTAGGCATTTTGTTCAAAACTGTACACATACTTGGTTATCATATTTTCATCATAATCCTTAAGGCAATGTTATTTTCCATAAGACACAGGTAAGAAACCTGAAGAAGAGGGATAGCAAATCATGTATTTGGCCGTATTCCTATTTTTTGGTTTCTGTGATGCTGGAAGAATGACCAGAATGAGTCATGGGAAGAGCATTCATCCCTGTATCATTTTCCAGGACAGAGGTGTGCCCTCCTTCAGCACTGGGACAAAATTCAGAAGTGTCTGCAACCTCGCTTTAACAGTGCGGGAAATAACCTCTATTACCTGGAATTTCACTGGAACTTTGGAATATACAAGAGAAGTATGACACCTGGGTCTTCCCTTGGCTGTATTTAATTCACTCTTCTCATTAAGACTTTTGCCTTGTTATAACCACAATATATGTTTTATGGAGAAGATTTTACTCTTAGCTCTATTTAGAATGAATAAATATAAGCTATGATTTAGGTTTTACGCCCTGGACTTAATATTTTTTCTGATTTCTGTTTTGAGATTAAATTCTCATGTAAATAGAAAAATGCTTCTTATTACTTATAAGAGTAAATTAGTTACTGGTTTGAGTTTCTGAAGTCGAAGCACAAACTTTTGTTTTTCATCTTTGTCTGTCCCCATCAGTGCCACTCATTGTCTCTCAGTATGACCCGGCCGTACTTCTGCACTTACCCTCGTCCTGCTGAACCATCTCCAAGCACTGTACAATTCCATCAGTGATTCAGGCTCTTCTCAAGCTCCCTGAAATGGATCCAGGTCCCAGGATGTCAGACACCTTCTAGACACAAAAGCAACACATACTGTAGAGAGTGCAGCAGGGTTCCCACCTCCCTGAAGTTGGCAGGGATGTCCTAGGGCAGGAAGGAATGCTTTCCCTTTTTAGGGGGTCTTTTCTTCATGTCTCAGTGCCTCTGATCTTGTGACCACAACTGTCTTGAATGTGAAAGAATTGCAAAATTTATGGTTTCTTTTCAGTTGGCTAGAACAGATTTATAAGACTTACTTACCCATGTCTGCTGAAGTTTGAATTCTTGGTAGTATGATTGTTGTTATTTTCCTTGTAAGGTGAGCGGCTTGCAGAAGACTGGCCTTGTTGCTGTACAAAAAGACGTAAACTTAATTTCTACTCAAAGCAAGTTTGAATTTGAAACTAGGGCTTCCGTTGTTCCAAAGCTGGACTGTCACTGCCTCAGGCATGTGTCCTGAAGGGCTCGTGTCTCTGCCGTACTCAGGGTAAAGTTAAGATGGAGAGCAGCAAGGCGGGTCTCCTTCAATTCTAGGTTCCCCCAAGAATTTTCTCCACTTTAAGAGACTGCATTGAAATATTCTTGTTCTGCTTTTGTGTTTGGGCTTTGGAATGATGTGATGAGGCTCAATGATTCCCACCCCCAAGTTGACCAGAGAAAGAAGCACTTGGGAAGGTCAGTGCAAATACAAGTCCAGTGTCCTCCTTGCAGGGATTCTGATTCAGTGCCCTCAGGTGGGGCCTGGAATGTGTTTGTTAACATGACTCAGATGTGCAGTCTGTTTGGGGGACCCTCTGATACCATGGACCTTACAGTTGATGGGATGATTCTGTTTTGCTGATGAAGAAACCAAGGCACAGAGAGTCTGTAACTCACCCAAGTTCCCTTTGCTGTAAGGACTGAAGCCAGATCTCAGGTAGAGTCCCCCTTCCACAAGCCCCATTCCGTGTTTTCCAATTCCGTTGTGTGGTTTCTTTCCAAGTAAGTGTTTCTCTCCCCTGTACCTCATTTCTGCATCCCCGCCTCAAAAATTTTTTTAAATTTAATTTGTTTCATCTAATACATTTCCTCTCAACATGCTGTCAGCAACCTATTCTGAAAACTCACTATGTGACATGCCTCTTTCTGAGACAGGGTCTCATTCTGTTACTCAGGCTGAAGTGCAGTGGTCTGTACTGCTCACTGCTACCTCAGACTCTTGGGCTCAAGTGATCCTCCTGTCTGAACTTCCCAATTAGCTGGAACTGTAGGCACACATCACCATTCTGGCTAATTTTTAAAAATTTTTTGTAGAGATGAGGTCTTGCTGTGTTGCTCAGGCTGCTCTCCAACTTCTGGCCTCAAACAATTCTCCTACCTAGGCCTCCAAAAGTGCTGGGATTACAGGAGTGAGCCATTGATCCTGGCCCTAAAAAGCTTAAAAAAAAAAAAAAAAAAAAAAAAAAAGCAGGGCATGGAGATGTGGAAAGATACCTCTCTGTATTACTGTTGTTATTATTATTACTTCTAAAGTAGAATTCATATGTCACAAAATTCTCCATTTTTATGCATACCATTCAGCGTCTTTTACTATATACCCAAGGTTTTGCAGCCATCACCACTGCCTAATTTCAGAATACTTTCGTAATGCCGGAAAGCATGCCTGTACTTACTGACAGTCACTCTCCAATTCCCCCGTTTTTGCAGTCCCTGTCAAACACTAATCTACCTTCTCTGTATATAGATATACTTGTTCTGGGCATTTCCTGTATATGGAATAATGCGACATCACCTTTTGCATCTCTTACTTATCACAATGTTCTCAAGGTTCATCCTTGCTGTAGCATGCATCAGTACTTCAATCCTTTTTGTGGCCAAATGATATTCCATTTTATAGTTATACCAGATTTTGTTTACCTGTTCATCAACTGATGGTGGTTTGGAACGTTTCCACTTTTTCACTATTATGAATAATGCTGCTATGAACATTTTTGTACATGTTTTTTAGTGAACATCTGATTTTAATTTTCTTGGTTATATACCTAGGAGTGCAACTGCTGTATCATATATGACTTTATGTTTAAGTTTTTGAGGAACTGACAGACTGTTTTCCAATCTCAGTGGCTACAGCATTTTACATTCTCACTAATAGTATATGAGAATTCCATTTCCACTATAACTTTCCAAACATATGTTGTGTTTTTTTAAAGTCACCCTTGTGGGTCTGATGTGGTATCTCATTTTGATTGAAGTTTACATTTTCCTAATGAGGAAAAACATTGAACATCTCTGCATGTGCTTGTTGGCCATTTGTATGTATCTTTTACAGAAATGTCTTTTGAAACATTTTTCCCATTTTTAAATTGGGTCATTTGTCTTTTTGCTCACTTATGTGAGTTCTTTATATACTCTAGATACTAGACCCTTGTTAGGTATATGATTTGCAAATAGTTCTCCCATTATATGGATTATATTTTCACTTAGAAATGTGTAATCCAGAGTCACAAAGATTTGTACCTATGTTTTCTTCAAGACATCGCTTTTGGAATGAGAACTCTCCTGGGTTTTAGTGGAGGACGGACATTGTTTATTTGTGCCTCTTGTCTGTTACAGATATTTCTCTTGATTGGTATTCATACGACCACCGCCCCTCCATGGAGCATCCAATGACTTGGAACAGAGCTCTGGGGACTGGCATCCTTCCACTGACTTTGACACTGATGAGAGCCCTGAACATGTGATTCTGTTGGCCTTAACCTGACCCACATGCATGTATTCCTCAGACATCTAGAGCTGAAGTCGAGAGCCTCTGTGGGAACGCTTGGCAGCCTATGCTATTCTAAGGCTGGAGCAGACTTTATTAGTCTATTCCAGCCAGACAGGACTGCAGGGGGTCCAGCCCCTACAAGCCCCTCTGTCTGTAATAGACTGCGTTCATCTCTGGTGTTAGGAAGCAGACCTGTTTCAGGGGTTGGGGAAGGTTGTTCGATATGAAATGGGTCCTCTCTTAATTATTTTTACAGTATGTGTGACTTCTTCCTAGAAAGAATGGAAGAATATTTATGTTAGAACATTTTATCAGTTCTTTGTCAATTGTTGTTTGTCTGCAATTTTAGAGTAGATAAAGGAGAGCTCAATGTAAATATACTCTTAATACTTAATTATGGTTGATGTCCACTGCCTGAGATATTTACTTCTATATACTATCTATTACTTCGGAATTGTCCTGCTCCTGATGAGAAAACAGACTCAGAAAGATTACAAAATTACTAGGCCACAAATGTTGTGAGGAGAAGAATAAGAATTAGAAACTAGTTTCTTTTGGCCTTCGAAGCTAACCTTATACCATTAGATCGAACTGAATGACAGTACTTTTGCTAAAGCAAGTCTCAGAGTTTGTGGTTCTGCATTGTTTTTCCAAGGAAACAGTGTGTCGCTTTAATATTATTTCAGACTTTTAAATGTCAAATTCTATTTTTTAATAAAACTTTTTTTGTGTTTGTTCTCTTTCATTGTTTTTGTTTTGTTTTGTTTTTTCTCAAGGGATCCCTATTATTTATCTGCTCAATATTTGTTACCTATCTTCTGTCAATTTTTACTTTTTGAGTGTTTGTTATCTGTCACTTTGTTTTATGCTACTAGCTATTCGCTAAGGTGTAATTTGCATGGAATAAACTACAAAAACCTAAGGGTACAGATTAATGACTTTAATATAATTGTACATTGTATAATAACATCCAGATCAAGAGAGGCAACAATTTTATTCTATGCCAGGGAGTTCTGACATGCTCCTTGCCAGTCAATACTCATCCTCAAATGAAGAATATATTCTAAATCTTGTTACTATCTTAGTCCCTTTGTCCCTTTGTGTTGCCATAAAGGAATACCAGAGGCTGGGTCATTTATAAAGAAAAAAGAGGTATTTCGCTCATAGTTCTGTAGGCTGCACAAGAATAATGGTACCAACAACTGTTCCTCATGAGGGCCTGAGGCTGCTTTCCCCTGCAGCAGAAGATGAAAGGGAACCAGTGTGTGCAAGGATCATATGGTGAGAGAGGAAGCAAAGAGAGAGGAAAAGCACAAGGCTCTTTTTAATAACCAGCTCTTGTGGGAACTAATAGAGTGAGAATTCACTCACTACCTTCTCCCAGGGAGGGGGTTAATCTATTCATGGGGGATCCACTCCCATGACCCAAACACCTCCCATTAAGCCCCACCTCCAACATTGGGGATCCAATTTCAACATGAGATTGGGAGGGGACAAATATCGAAACTATAGCAGCCACATCGGATTAATTTTGCTGATTTTTTTGCTTCATAACAATGAAATCATTTCAGTATCTGCTCTTATTTTGACTTCTCTTAATCAGTTGGATATATATGCTACTACTTTGTTTTTTTCTTTCATTTCATTTTGTTTTGACCTAGAAATATCCTATTTAATGTATAATTATCACACAGTTTGATATCCACTTTTGTGATGGTAGACAGGTTTACTTGTTGTCTACTATGCATCAGTAACTGAAAATATTCTTGTACACTTCTTTCTGTGAAGACACATACTCGTTTTTCCTGGGTGTTGATAGCTAGGGATGGAATTGCTTGGTGAAAGGCTGAAAATGGACACAGAGTTTTGCAAAAAAGTTATATTATTTTACATTTCTATGACAAATATAGGCTATTTCCAGTTGCTTTACATTCCCACACACTTAATATTTTCAGTCTTTTAAGTTTTAGCCATTCTACCAGGTGTGTATTGATATCATCTATTTTGGTTTTCACATGCCTATTGATCATTAAGACATCTTATGTAAAGCACATTTTCAAATTTTTCCACTCATTGATATACTGGGCTGTTTGTTGTTTTCTTTGTGATCTACTGGAGTTATTTACACATTTTGAAAGAGTCCATTGTTTCATTTATGTACATGTGAAGCATTGAAGTTGAGAGCCTCTCTGAGAATGCTTGGCAGCCCATGCTGTTCTAAGGCCAGAATGGACTTCCTCAGCCCACGCCAGAGAGGGGACCATAGGGGTTGGACCTAGTCAAGACTAATTTTGTGTGTGTGTGTGTGTGTGTGTGTGCGCATATATATATATATATATATATATGAAATATATATTTATTTGCAACATGCATATATGTTGCAAATCATTATTCTTGGCCACCAGATAGCTTTTGTCTTATTAAACACTAACCTATAATAAGCAGAAGCTTTTCAAAAATGAAGTACATTTAATTGATTTATTATTGTGGTCAGTGCTACAGTTTAAGAAATATTTTCTGGTCTAAGAAATACTTTCCTATGTCAAGTTCACGAAAATATTTTGTATTTTTTCCTTTAGAAAGTTTCTAATTCTAACTTTCACATCTTAGGTTAATTTCAATGTATGGTAAAAAGTGGTGGTTACTATTAACTTTTTAAAACAACAAATATTATTTTACTCAGAAACTTTCTACTGAAAAGTCATTTCCCCAGTGAAGGGCATTGGTGTCTTTGTTTCTAAAAAGTTTAAATAACTGTACATAGGGAGCATATTGTTTGAATCTGTACTCTTCTACTTTGATATATTTATGAATAGTTACACATTTCCCATAGCTTTTAAATTATTGTAGCTCTAAAATGAGTTCTGAAATCTAGCAGAGTAATTTCTCCAACTTTTTCCAAGACCAACTTGCCTATTCCAGATTATTTGATTTTGATATACATTTTAAAATTAGCATTTACATTTCTCTAAAACTTCTACTAGAATTCTTAATCAGAATTATGTTGATGTGATATATTCACAAAATTGAGTCTTCCAGTCCATGAACATGATACATGTTTCTCTATTTAGTCTTCTTTAATTTCTATCACCAATAGCTTTTAGGGGCTTTGTATCTGCTTCATTATATGTATTCTTAAGCATGTAATTATTTTCTATATTAATCTCCATTATGTTTTATTGAATTTCATTTTCTATCTGGTAAGTGCTAGTATGGAGAAATTAAGATGATTAAATCAATGTTATAAAGGTATAAATTAAGTACAATAGACTACAACACTTTAAAACATATAATTAAATGCATATTTACAAATGTATACACAAATGGGACAACTGCTATAATCATGATATGGGAATTTCCATAAGTCCAAAGTTTCTTGTAACCCTTTGCAGTTCATCACTCTTTCAACCCTCAGCCCCAAGGAGCCAGTGTCACTTTAGGTCAGTTTGCGTTTTTAACCATTTTATGTAATGAAATTATACTTGTGTTCTTTTGTGTCTGCCTTCTTTCATGAATCATGTTAATTTTAAAATCCATCCATATGAGTATTTTCATCAACAGTTAATACACTGTAATTGCTGAGTAGTATTCCTTTGTGTGGTTACACCACGTTTGTTTATACATTCACTTGTTATTTGACATTTGTGTCATTCCAGGTTTGGGCTATTATGAATAAAGTATCATAAGCATCCACATACAAATCATTGTGCAGACATAGTATGTAAATTCCTAGGAATGGAACTGAGAGACAGGACTAGCTGGATTTCCTAGGCCGACTAAGAACCCCGAAGTCTAGTTGGGAAGGTGACCACATCCACCTTTAAACACGGGGCTTGCAACTTAGCTCATGCCCTGCCAATCAGGTAGTAGAGAGCGCTCACTAAAGTGCTAATTAGGCAAAAACAGGAGGTAATCATCTATTGCCTGAGAGCACAGTGGGAAGGACAGTGATCGGGATATAAACCCAGGCATTTGAGCCAGCAACAGCTACCCACTTTGGATCCCCTCTCTTTGTAGGGAGCTCTGTTTTCACTCTATTAAATCTTGCAACTGCACAATCTCCTGGGCCGTGTTTGTTACAGCTGGAGCTGAGCTTTCGCTTGCCATCCACCACTGATGTTTGCCACCATCACAGACCCACCGCCAACTTCCATCCCTCCGGATCTGGCAGGGTGTCCGCTTTGCTCCTGATCCAGGGAGGAGCCCATTGCCGCTCCCTATCAGGCTAAAGGCTTGCCATTGTTCCTGCATGGCTAAGGGCCAGGGTTCATTCATCCTAATCGAGCTGAACACTAGTCACTGGGTTCCATAGTTCTCTTCCATGACCCACACTTCTAGTAGAGCTATAACACTCACCGCATCCATTCCTTGGAATCCGTGAGGCCAAGAACCCCAGGTCAGAGAACACAAGGTTTGCCAGCATCTTAGAAGCAGCCCGCCACCATCTTGGGAGCTCTGGGAGCAAGGACCCCCGCAAATGCACCAGGTGCCATAACAGAAAGACTGTCCATCTGATTTGTATGTGTTTAAACTGAGAAGAAACTGTTAGCCAGATTTTCAAAGGAGTCGGACCATTTTTCATTCCCACAAGTATAAGACTTCCAAGTGCTTTAGATCCTCACCAACATGTTGTATTTTCAGCCTTTTTATCGTTCTCGTGGATATGTAATGGTATCTCAGCACTGTATTGATTGATCTCCCAGATGACTAAAGAGTTGAGCATCTTTTCCTGTGCTAATTGACCATTCATGTATCTTCTTTTCTGAAGTATCTGTTCAAGCCTTTTGCCAAATTGTTCCTTTGTGCTGTTTATCTTGTCAGACTGCATTGGATATATACCATTAAAAAAAATCCTTTGTTGCAGATAAATATAGTATCTCCTATATTGTGGCTTCTTTTTAAGTTCTCTTAATGTTCCTTATTTTGGAGGTAAAGATAGATAATCATCAAAAAGGTGATTATATATACACATATAACTATATTTATGTCTAAGAATCATTAGTCTAACATATATGAAAGGATCTATTTCTGAATTCTCTCTTCTCTTCCATTGATATATGTTCTATTTTTTTCAATAATACACTTGATCTTTATTTCCATAGCTGGATAGTAAATCTGGAAATAGGTATTGAATTCATTCACCATTGTTCTTTTATAATGTTCCTTTTTTATTATACCTGATCATTGACATTTCCATATAAACGGTAGCATCAGATTGTAAATTTCTACCAAAATGCCTGTGGAATTTTTACTAGAATTGCATTGGATCCCAAAGATCAAATTTGGGAAAAATTGACTTTTTAACAACTCTTCTGATCCTTGACAAACATTTACATCCCAACTAATTTAGTTCTTTTATAATTTCTTAAAGCAATGTTTTGTAGTTTTCAGCATACTGGCCTTACATCAATTTTTTTGAATTTATTTCTAAGCACATCCTGTATGTAGATGTTACTTTAAATGAAATTGTATTTTTATTTCACTTTCCAAATGCTCATTGGTTATATACAAAAATACAACATTTATATTGAACTTATATTCTGCAACATTGCAAACTCACTTATTAATTTTTATAGATTTTTATAGATTTCTAGGATTGTGTACATACACAATCATTATCTGTTAATACAGACAGATTCAGTTCTTCCTTTTCAACCTTTTCAATGTTTTATTTACTTTTTCTTACTTCATTGCATTGGTTAAGATCACTAATCTAATGCTGAAAAAGGAATGCCTGTAATCTCAGAACTTTGGCAGGTCAAGGAGGCAGATTCCTTGAACTCAGGACTTCAAGACCAGCATGGGAAACATGGTGAAACCCCATCTCTAAAAAAACAAAAAAATTAGCCATGCATGGCAACATGTGCCTGTAGTCTGTTACTTGGGAGGCTGAGTTACAAGGATGGTTTGAGCCCAGGAGACAGAGGTTGAAGTTAGCCAAGATTTTGCCTCTGCACTCTAGTCTGGGTGACAGGACCGGACCCTGTCTCAAAAAAAAAAAAAAAAAAAAAAGATGGTGAATATATCTACCTACTTCCAAAGTGTCCTTGTGTACCTAGTAATTCCTCCCTCATCTTTCTCCCCCCACCTCAGACAACCATTGGTTGACTTTCTGTTATAATAGATCAATTTAAATTTTCCCAAGTTTTCTCTAAATAGAATCATATACTATGTATCCATATTTGGTTTATACATTTATATATTTTGGTATTTTTGTATATCTTTTTCACTCAGAATAATTATTTTGATTTGTAGCCATGTTTTCATGTGTATTAATAGATCACTATACTGCTGAGTAATGTAATATTCCATGTGATGGATATATCACGATTTATTTTACTCATTCATCTGTTAATGGGTTTGGATGGCTTCTGGTTTTAAAACTAAAGCTTCTATCAACAAAGTTGTATGGAGATAGCTTTTCTTTTCATTTGGGTGAAATAGCAGTATCATATGGTAGGTACAGGTTGACTATTTTAAGATGCTGCCACACTGTTTTATAATGTGCTTGTAACATTTCACAACCTCATCAGCAGTGCATGAGTGTTTTAGTTCCCGTACATCTTTGCCAACACTTGGAATGGTGATTCTTTCAACTTTAGCCATTTTACTTGGTTTACATTTGCATTTTCTAATGACTAATGATGATGAATACCTTGTCATGTTGTTATGTGCCTTCCATATATCTTCTTTGCTGAAGTACCTTTACAAATATTTTATTCATTTGAAAATCTGATTGTTTGTCTCTTTATTAATAAACTTTGAGAGTTCCCTTATTGTTGTACACAGAGGTCCTTTATCAGATATGCGATTTCCAAATATTTTCTCCCTAAGTGTGGCTTGTCTTTTCATTCTCTTACCAACGTCTTTGAAGAGCAAATTTTAAAAGTGTTTAAGTGTAATTTATTGTTTTGTTCTTTTACCAGTTCTTAGGCTGAATGCTTCCAGCTCTTGCCCATTCAGTATGATGCTGACTGCGGGTTGGTCATAAATAGTTCTTATTATTTTGAGATATGTTCCTTTAGTGCCTAGTGTGTTGGGAGTTTTCACATGAAGTGATGTTGAATTTTATCAAAGGCCTTTTCTGCATCTATTGAGAGAATCATGTTGTTTTTGGTTTTAGTTCTCTGTATAATGAATCACATAACATACACTTTTTGCATACCTTTTGCCTCTGGTAACTCTCCATGTCTGCCCACTTTGTGGGAGGGGCCCTTTGGAGCAACAAACGAGGAGGATTCAATATTAGAGACACAGAGACTCGTGGACTGAAAGCCCTGGACCCCGAGAGTGAGCAG